GAAGGAGAGCGGCAACGGGAACTCTGGTGAGATATTTATTCTTGGTCTTCAGCCTGTACAGAGAACTTGATATGAATAAGATCCTCTGTTAATCACAGTTTGTCAAGTTATATTTAGATACTCAAAGTTATTTTTATTCTAATACTGAAAATAAGATGATAGTAATTTTTTTTTGTAATTTTACATTTTAGTGACACAAATTTAGGTGAAAAATTATTTCTGAGCTGTAAATATTGACAAAAAAAGATCACATTAAAAATTATTTCGTATAAACGTAGCTCTTTTCAGTTTAAAAAAATGTATATATGAATAAGGGAAACATCCCTATTTTCCTGTTTATTTCCCAAGGGCTACTAAAAGCCACCATCTGTTCATTCAGAAAGTGAATATTATTGTTAAAAATCTGACTAAGTGAGAAACAAAACAGAGGCGAGCCACGTCTTTTCTTATCAGTTACAAATGCTATTATTATTATTGCATCATATTCGAAATAAACATCTCAATCAATCAATCAATCAATCAAGCAATGTTGTAAAACAGGTGATAAGCAAATGAAGAGGGAGCCTTGAAATAAATAAGAGCACTTAGGAATTTATGACCTGTGCTGTAAAGTGTGAAATGAAAGGAGTCAACTAGAAACTATATGATTTACTGGAAATGTTCAGCTTGTCACTGATGGATGAAAGAGTCACACCTGCACCTGCTTTCACAGCTGGCTCGTAGGTTATCATTTACTGCAACTCGTCCTTTGACAACTTAATTTACGTTATGATTGGAGACAGTATTTACTTTATTTTTTTATGAATGGCACACCTTTACCTGTTCCTCCAAAGTGAAAGCACATGTGCGCTACTTTCATTATTAGGCTACTTGTCATAAAATCTCTGCCAGAATCAACTTCATTGCTGTAGTAAAGTTAATGATTAACTGACTGTTGAATATAGAGAAAACATTGGCAATGTGATCATAATATGACCTCAGGGATCAAGATACGGTCTTATGGTGTTAAGAAATGACTCTTTTTTATGAGGTTGTTTTATCAAATGATGTAGGCTCCTCACAATTTCTGTACAATTTCACAGCACAGTTTATTGTTACTACACTTCAGTCACGTAGATCCAAAACTTCCCAGCTTGTTGTTGTTGTTGTTGTAGCTGTCTGTCATGTGCACACATTGCTGTGCAGATGTAATCTACCTGCTTGGGTACAAAAATAATTTACTGTTGCCAAAAAGATTCTTAACTGTGTTTTTGTCCTTTCACAGTTATTGGATCAGAGACGTCACACAAGTGCAGCCTGTCCTGCCTCGGTCCTCTGACCTTCCACCCTCATGCTGTGGGAGACCTGATCCGCCTCAGCCAGGGGTGTCGCCTCGCAGAGAGGTCTGGGGCTGCATTCAAGAATGGCCTAGTGTTCAGCAGCCGCCTGGTGAAGATCCAGGAGAGGATTCGTCTGAGGGTGGAGAAAGATTCATTCAACTGGCACGGAGCTCTGCGTGTGGGTTTCACCACTGTGCCGCCCTCAGCCAGATCTCTGCCTCTGCCCCTCATGGCCATCCCCAACCTCACTGACACCCAGGGGCACTGGGCCGCTCCTGTGCATGAATCCCTCTGCAAAGCAGGTTCAGAGCTGGAGTTCTGGGTCTCTGCTGGAGGCATTGTATATGCCACAGGCAACAACAGCGAAGAGCACAAGCTACTAACAGGAGTGGATCTCAGCCAGCCACTGTGGGCCATGATAGACATCTACGGGCAGACACGCTCCATTTTCCTCCTGGGTAAGTTGTTGTTGTTGTGCTGCCACACAGCGTGATGCTCTTGCTTATCTGTTTCATGTGTACCAACAATGGCAAGTAATTGTTTGATTGTCATATAAACATGATATGATAAATGCTTTTACTCTTCGCTGCAGGTTCAGAGAAGAGAGATCTGTTTCGCACCAGACGGTCCTGTCCTGCACCTGAACGCCTCACCTCACCTGATGTTGACAGTCACTACAGTTTGACATCTGATGTCTCGAGCCTCTCTGGAAGCAGTGATGAATGCGTGGACGAAGGTAAGAATGAGTTCCTTCAACCAAACAATTGCAATTGATTTCAGTGTTGTGCACATTTTTAACCAGAGAGAACTTTCCTTTAATGTCAGTGTTGTGATTCCTGTTTTGATCACAGGTGAAGGCAGCGGCTGTGTGGTGTGCATGGACAAACAGGCCAGAATGACTCTGCCTTGTGGCCACCAGTGTTTGTGTAACCAGTGCGCCTCCAGGGTCTTCCAGCAATTTGGCACTTGCCCACTGTGCAGACACAAGATCAGAGCTCCATCAGAGGAGGGGAGGTGTGTCTCAGGGCTGCTCTGAGCTCCCAGACACCAGGCGGGAATCAATTTGCACTCACTGGACAGTGAACTTTGCCTTCTTAATGTTGTAAATCTTAAATGATTTTGGTTCTGTGAAAATTATTTTTTTATAATATTTGTTGTCAAAATATGTCTGTGAAAATAAAATATATTTTTTCACAAAACTGCATTTCAGTTGAAGGCATTGTGTGATATTTATTGTAAAAAATGTCTGTGTGACTTTTGCACCTGGCATCATCTACAGTATACTCTGAATGAGACCCATTAGTAAAGTTAACAAAACAAGTGAATATTGAATAGAGATTGTTTTGTCAAGACTGAAGTGCCTAGCTCAAAATCAGAACATGTTGTTCATGTTGCAAAGAATTATTTCTTATTTTGAAAATAAAAGAAACAAACAATACTAGCACATGGCAAAACTTAGAAGTCTTTGCAAAGTGAAGCAAAGATCCCTGTGCAGAATACAAATAGACCACTAATGAAAATCTACACTCACTAATCATTGCTCAAGTTGCACCAGGAGCCCTAACAAAGACAAAATACTAGTTAATCAGTCATCAGAGACACTGTTCCCTGACTTAACCTAAATACACTGTTTTATATTATTATTTGCTACATAAGCTACACAGCATATCCTCAGAGGGTTCCTCAAATGTGAAAGTACAGCAAGCAGCCAGTTTCGTTATTACTTGTTTACAATTATAGCTATCAAATCAAAATAAACTTTATCATAGCAGTGAAGCAAATGATTAACAAAGCTGGTTAGAATAAAACAAAATACAGGCACACAGGTGTTTGTAGTTTGACCTTAAGGATTAAATACGGCTGATGGTGTGAGAAATGAGCACCATCAGCACCAAATGTTTCAGGTCACTTATTCACATTTTCACAGCTTTTTTTCCTCAAGAACTGAGAGAGCTTCACGTCTCAGTGGTTCACTCGTCTGCTGATTTGCTACATAGAGGTCAAAGGACGCTGCTGTTGGATCTCACCTTGTTTGGCATATGCAGATTGTAGTATATACAATCTAGTATCGAGTATACAGCGTATCGATAAAGTTGCAGACAACAGCAGATCAAACTTGTAACAAGTTTTGACGTCAGCTACCTTTTAATTGTTGGATCTTTTGAATGGGTTCTATGGGGTTTTTATTTGTAGTGAGTGTATTACAGGCAGTTGGTGTCAGTCAGCACACTCCCAGGAGTCTGACACAAAAGCTAAGCAATGTACTGCTGTGGAGGGGTCAGCAACCACACTTATTTTAGCCACCTAAAAAATCAATATCAGTTTAAGTGTATGCTATATTTAGAATATTTTCATTGCTTTACCTTGCTGTTAGACAGTAATTTCCAGCGGGGAACTATGGCCATTGTATCACTCTCTTCAAAGCCAGGCTCCATTGACAGAAACAGTTATTTCAGTCAGGAACACTTTTGTCAAAGAAAACTTTATTTCCATTTGCAGTATTGTATTTGGCAGCATGGCTCTGTGCTGGGGCTCCTCTGCCTTTACTCGGGCCTACGCAGAAAGCCTCTTCCACGTGCCTACGTGGAAAGCATTAAGTGGAGAGAGCACACCTCTCCGCCGTTATGCGTGCCTACGTGGACAGCCATAAGGTAGAGAGAGCACACCTGTCTGCCCTTCCACATGCAAATGAGAAAAGCCTGAGGCAGAGAGAGCAAACCTCCCTGCCCTTCCATGCGCCTACATGGAAAGCCTGAAGCAGGGAGAGCAGCATTAATGACAGTCAGAAATGACACTGATAAATCAGATACAGCATAAAAAGGAGGAGCTGGGTTGGAGGCAGGCTGCAAAGCGGCTTGTAGAGGAACTTAAAACAGTAGGCAGGCCAAAGCAGTTTAAATAGGGCGCCCTGAATAAGATTCGCCAATTGGTTGCATAGAAAGGAATTATATTATCCATCAGCTGACTCCCGTCCATCAATCAGCCGCTCCATCAGTTGATTGGCTGTTTGAGATCAACTGATGTAGCTGGGATATGAGCTGAGCTTGACATCGTGTCCTGCCTGAACTAATGCTATTCTCATTTTTTGGCTCACTGAACACAGGAGCTACTGGTCCACTGCTGGCTCGATATGTTTTTTGTGTGTGTCATTATGTGACTTCGGCATTTAAAGTGGTTAGTCTGGGTTCACCAAAGTCACACAATAACACTAACTATCTAACTGATCGAAGCAGCGGAAGACCAGCAGCTCCAAATTCGGTGAGCCAAAATTATCCTTTTTGCCAATGAAGTCCAGTAGTTTGGAAAGAGCATAGATGGGGAACTGAAGCCATCAACAGCTTTCCCATCGCAAATGGCTCTCTGATGTAAAGGTAAAGCGTTGAAAATCATTTTAGGTGGGACTTTATTTAGGTGGCTAAAACACAGTTTGCTGCTGCCCCCCATTCACAGCAGTACATTGCTTAGCTTCAGTGTCATCACTCCTGTCCATTCTCCAAAGTGGGGCCTTGCCAACAGACATCTAGGCCTACTGTAGATAGACACCACTTCTAAAAATCTGAACTAGCCCTTCATGATAGACAGTTATGCACATTTTAGTGACTGCCAGGGGCGACCCTGGACTTTTGGGGGACCTCAGCAGATTGATGTAACATGTTGCAACTTCACATGACACTGAACCAACTGATGTACTGTGAATATTAGCAAAAAAAAAAAAAAATGTTGTGTAACACAAGACAATAAATAACACATAATATAAAATAAGTAGTGCACAATGTAAAATAAGTAGCACAAATACGAAGTTATAAGTGAGGATTTTATTCATATGCATTGTTGTGTGGATTGTACAGAGACCTCTTTTGCACGTGAACCATATTGCAGTATTGCACAGTGTCCTTGTGTGATGGTAGTATGTGGAAAGAAGCTGTCTCTGAGCCTGTTTGTCCTGGTAGTGATGGGCCTGTAACACCTGCAGGAGGGCAGCCAGACAAACAGGTGTGAAGCAGGATGGGTGCTTTCTCTGAAAACTATAGGCAAGTAATTTAATGCTATTTTAATCAAGTGTATGTTTTTCTTAAATTGATTATTATTACAGTGACTTTTCATAAACTAGGATTTAAAGTATATTTGTGCTAAAGATATCTTATCAGGTACTGTCTAAGTATAATCATTTGTAGTGACACAGTAAATTCTCAGCTGATTAAAACATCCACTGTGCAGGCATGTAAAGACATAACACATGACTGTTGTGATATGAAAAGAATAATACCAACGACCTCCAAATGAAATCACGGGCTGCGGTTCTGGTAAACTGTCAAAGGATAGTTTGTGAAGATACTTACCCCAGTTTGGTTTTGACTTTTGTTCTTGTGTTGCTCATTTATTTTCTTATCAAATCTAATACACCCACAAAATTTGAGTTTACCACAGAATCCTGGGATCGATTGTTTTGTAGAGGAAACTAAATTACTTACCATAATTGTTCATTTCATGCACGTTGTTTTGTCACTATTTCTTGGCAAAAATCGCATGAAATGAAATCAGTTTATGTTTAAGAAGTATTTAGAAGTGAAATTTTTTCTTTTGTTATTGTCCGGTGTTCATTAAAAAAATCTTTTTAAGGGTTCCAGGGGCCCTAAGCAACTGCTTATATTGCTTAAGGGGTAAGGCCAGCTCTGCAAGGAACAAGTGGTTTTTTTAATTGGATAGCACCACCATGTGGTCATTTATAAAGCACTTATTGCTTAATGTGTAAGGCCAGCTCTTAAGCTTCATTTCTTGCATGTTGTACAGGCTCTATTTTCTCGTTATTCTCATTTAATGGCCTGATATTTCATATCTTTATTCACTTTTTCACTCATGCAGCTCCATAAAAGTTTAATCTGGAAGACTGTCTATATACCCACCATATTTTATCTCTCTCTTCTTTCCTACTGTGAAAGAAGTATTTCATTGCTGGAAAGATGGTCTTCTCATAAAACTGGACTGTCTATCCAGTAGAAAGAAACAAATACTTTTGCAATTATTGCTATTTGACCAGAGAATGTGGATAAAGAGGGCCGTGGTATTTGCTTTTCTTCAAGAGGTAGAAAACCTACAAGTACCTTAATGCACTGCACCAGACCCATGAACGCTCCTGCTGGTTAGCGGCATAATGCGAGTTTGGCTGCTTTTCCGAGATATGTATAGCTGCAGCAACATTCTGCTTGAAAGCTACATGTCACGCACCTACAAACCACACCCACCGCCGGTACAAGGCAAACCAATCAACACAACAGTTATCTGACCCTGCTAACGCGATTTTGTAGTGAATACGTATGAGGCCGAACGTAGCAATAATCCACTTTATTCATATACTTTCTTCATTATGGGTCTACATAAAGATGTGGTTCACCTGAGCACCAAGATGTAATTCCTTGCTCTAACCCACTTCTTCTTTAATCTTACCCCATATAACTAGCTAAACACTGACTGGAAACAACATGGCGACCAGCTGGAACCAAAGAGCCTCAAATATTAATTAAACAGTAACTTAAAATATGTTTCTGAAGACATTTGAGGCAAAAAAAATAAGCAAAACGGTAACATTTACCGTTGGATCTCAGGTTTTTCGGCCTCCATTTTTACAATACAGGAAACAGTGTGGCGCCCACTTCCTGTTCACAGACTTTCACATTACAGCCAAACAGGGCACTGAACTACGTTTCTGAAGGCACTGTAGGTGAGAAATAGTCAATACAGCAACACAATCTTGGTTTGTTTTTCATCAGCACTGCCTAGTTTAAAAATGAGCTGAGAAATGAGCAGATCTGGATGCTTGTAAGATGGAGGAAAGTTTACCACAGTTCACTTAAGCCTAGTTCACATTACATGATTTTCACCCTGATTTTGCGTCACGGAGACTATCGTAATTTTTTGAGTGTTCATACCTGGCGATGTGTGTTTCTGTCAGCGGGATTCTCGCCAACTGCATTATGACCTGTGTGCAAACCACAAGATTTCTCCACCAAGCCCTCGCAGACAGAGCCCCAGATAACGCGGTGACATCACCAAACTTGGAGACAACACATCGTAAAGGCATGGATATTCTTCCTAGTGTTGAATCAGATCTAACTCCAGGGCCTGGGTCCAAACATAACGCGCTCTCCATGATCCTGTGGACGCCGCCATTGTTGTTGTTGCTTGCCGGCTTGTCAGTGTTGGCAGATCTTGGGAGAGAGGAACAAGCAACCAGGGCTATGGAAACAAGCCCAAAAGAAGCGACTATCATGCCTTTAAAGAACTTATTAGACGGATATATATAGAGAAAGGTGACGTTTAGAGAGCAAGCCCAAATAAGCAACTCCACTTTAGAAACAAGCCCAAAGTCGTGGCTAATAAGCAGACCTGGCAAGTGGCAACCCTGCGGCTTGTCCTCCTCACATTTCTTCCGTTCTCCTGCGTGCTGACGTGGAACGTATCCCGCCTCTCATTGGCTGATGCTCTTTGTCAGTCGTGTCACACTTGTCCAGTTTTCTAGCATGCCAGATATCCAGTCCCTGTCACAGACAAGGGGGCGACATGCTCGTAGGCTTGTTCACACATGAAGACTTGTCATGGCAGACTATCTGCCGACTCACCTCTGACCCAAGGTGGCTCTCAAGATCCTTGGTGATGTCAAAGTCGCGGTTAAAATCGTGTAATGTGAACTAGGCTTAACACACACTACCCACACTGTTATGATATATTGCTGGTGAAAAGTCTCCCTTTCACTCAATCAACTGACTGAGGGTGTTCACTGAGGGTGTATACCAGATTTTGTTATGATCTCTTTGATCATTTGTTGCTGCCAAAATTTAAAAGTGTTCCTTTCTCTGCTGCTTTCAGCCATCATTTCAGTGTCAATTCTATGCCACATTCAACTCAGGCCTCTATCACAACCAGTCTTCCCAGTTATTCCTTCCTTTGAGCTCATCAGAAGGTTTTCTCCATATTACAACAATCTTCAGCATTGCTTTTCACCTCTTCATCACCACCACCGCCAGTAGCTTATGGCATCACTACCCCCTCATAATAAAGATGCTGTCTAATCTTTTAAGACTCATCTCATAGTTATTTAACTTTCCTATTGTGCATTGTGTCAAATAAATTATTTTGGCTACTCTTAAAACCTCTTAAGCCAATTAAGTTTTTTCCTGCTTGAACTATTTTAATCCAAAATTGGTGTCAATAGTTCACTTGTTGTCTGGTGATTCACTTTATGTAGGTCAAAGGATAGTTACACTAAACATCACCTTCTGTTTGACATAATGGAGATTGTTTTGCAGATTTAATCTTTGTGTGAAAACTGAAAAAGAATCTCAAATGTAAACATAGGCATTGTTTTCTATAACCTTACCCCCATGGTTTGCAGAATATAAATTCCAGTAGCAAATTATGTCACAGCTAACAACATCTTAAACTTGTTTGATCTCATCTACCCTTGAAGTTGCATGATAGACATCTATGCAGGTTTTAGTCCCTGGATTGGGTTCATGGGTTCATTTCCTGTAGGTTGTATACGCCCCATTTTCTTGTTCTTCTCATTTATTGGCTGAATATTTAACACAATTTTCATTATGTAAATCATAATTCTTTTCCTTTTTATTTCAAAAAGTACTGAAAGCCCCTACAAAGCATCCATGCATCCATCCCTTTTCTTTGCCTATCCATGGCACCATTGCAGTAGCTAGTCAAAAAACGGCACTTGGTCAGTTGCCTTCAGCATCTGACATGGATGCATAATGCCCCTTTTTGTCTCTGTATGAGACACACTGGACTTTCAACAAACTTCAGTGTAAACCATTCATTCATTCATCTTCTAACCGCTTCATCCTCTTGAGGGTCACGGGGGGGCTGGAGCCTATCCCAGCTGACATCGGGCGAGAGGCAGGGTACACCCTGGACAGGTCGCCAGACTATCACAGGGCTGACACATAGAGACAAACAACCATTCACGCTCACATTCACACCTACGGACAATTTAGAGTTATCAATTAACCTAGTCCCCAATCTGCATGTCTTTGGACTGTGGGAGGAAGCCGGAGTGCCCGGAGAGAACCCACGCTGACACGGGGAGAACATGCAAACTCCGCACAGAAGGGCTCCCACGCCCGGGATCGAACCGGCAACCCTCTTGCTGTGAGGCGAGAGTGCTAACCACCACATCACCGTGCCGCCCAGTGTAAACCATTTGCATCTTAATTAGATAGATGGCCAGAGCAACAGACGTAGTATAAATAGCAAGGGGGTTGGATAGGTTCAACAAACACAGGACTTTGACTAAGGAGACTGGTGTTTGTGTCCCGTGTGAATCAAAAAGACAACACTGTATTGTTTCATCTCATGAGACTCGGATTACTAACATCAACTATGATCTTTTTTTCATCCCTAACCAAGTAGTTTTATTGCCTAAACTGCCCACCCCTTCCGCATCAAAAATACAACGCAAAAAACTGCCCCCGATATCATTGTAGTGACACCTGGGGCCTCTGCCCCAAAATACGTGAGTACTGAGATCATGTTGCACTGGCAGCTGGCTTAGCAAAGTACTCCAGACATCCCTCTCTCCAGTAATGTTTCCCAGCTCTTCCCAAGGAATCCCAAGACATTTCCAGGCCAGATGAGATATATAATCCTTTCAGCATGTTCTTGGTCTACCCTGCGTTCTCCTACAAGTTGGGTGGAAAACCCTCAAAGAAAGACGCCCAGGATGCACCCTGATTAGATGCCTGAACCACCTCAACTGGTCCCTTTTGACACCAAGGAGCAGCATCTAACTCCTTTTAGATTTCTAAGCTCCTCACCTTATCTCTAATGGTGAGACTAGACACCCTATAGATTTTAGCCGCTTATGTCCACAATCTTATTCTGTGGGTCAAAATATTGATCAGCTGGTACATCAAAAGCTTTGTCTTCTGGCTCAGCTCCCTCTTCACCATGACAGTCCACTACAACACCTGTATTACTGCAATGCTGTTCACATACACTCCATTTTACCCTCACTTGTGAACAAGACCCCATCATACTTGAACTACTCTGATAGGTGCAATAACTCACTCCCAACCCAAAGGGAACAATTCCCCTATTTCCAGCAAAGAACATGGCCTCAGGCTTGGAAGTGCTTACTCTCATCTCCACAGCTTCACACTCAGCTGTAAACCCAGTGCGTGCTGGAGGTCATGGTTTGATGAAGCCGACAGAACCACATCATCTGCAAAGAGCAGAGATGCAACTCTGAGGTCCTCAAACCAGACACTCTTCACCCCCCAGCTGTGCTCCCTAGAGGGTGTTGGTTGGGCTCAGGAGTTCTTTAAAGTGCTCTTTCTCCTGCTCGACAATATCCCTAGTTTGGGTCCGCAGTTCTCCTCCCCTGCTGAACACAGCCTGAAACAGAAACTAACTAGCTAGAAACTTCTCAAGGCCACCTGAAAGTCTTGCTCCATCACCTCACTACTCCAGAACTTCTTTACAAAAGTCAGAAATAACAGCAGCTCAAAAATGCAGAGCAACAGAACAGAAAATTCTGTTGGAAGTGAGGGGTTATTGATGTTGGACCTCACCTTATGTTTGACATATGCAGATTTTTTTTGCAGATTTATTCTTCCTGATAGGACTGAAAGAGAATCTCAAATGCAAACACGCACTCTATTAAACGTAACCCTCATCGTTTGCAGAGTATACATTCCAGTAGCATATACCTGGCGTCACAACTTCGGACGAAACCAGAAACACGCTTTGACCTCAGGTACCCTCTGAGGTTAACGATAGACATCGATGCACCTTTCAGTTCATGGACTGGGTCAATGGGTTCATTTCCTGTATGTTGTACAAGATCTGTTTTCTTGTGCTTCTCCTTTAATGGCCTGATATTTCACATGTCCTGCCAAAACCTAATAATAATATTATATGAATATGTGAAAAAGTGATTCAATTCCAACCGCTGCAGTTTGAACTGTGTTTCTGAATGTACTCAAGCTCCAAGGAAAATATAAAAAGGAACAATCATGAGGACAGACAGACAGCGTTTGAGGTGCTAGACTTTCGTGTCAGTTCTATTGGAGTCAGTGGGGCGGGCTCTGCAAATCACACTTTAACCTGTCATATCTTTGTTGTTTCAACTTTGACTGACAAATCCTTCCACCAGATTAAAAAAACAATTGTAACATAATGCTTACTGATGGGTTGGTTTTTTTTTTAACCTAAAAATGCAGATTTGTTTTCCTATCTCAGCCTCTGCTGGACAGAGCCATGAGCTGTTTGGAGACCAATAATAAAGAGAAGAAATGAGCATATCTATATCAAAATCAGTAAGCATCAAGTTATATGTTTTTAATCTGGTGAAAGGATTTTTCACTCAAAGTTGATTTGTAGCGCTTGCCCCACTGACTCCAATAGAACTGACACCAAAGTCTGGCTCCATGAACGCTGTCATCTTGAGTGTTTCTTTCTTTTTTATATTTTCCTTGTCAAGTTCAAGGAAGCACCAAATGCATCTGTATTGCTATGGAAATCCCACCACAATCACAATCAATGTCATCTGACAGCATTAAAAATCAAAGAGAAAATCATTCTACTGTATAGAAACATATTATTTTGCACTCTGTATTCAGGTAATAGAAACATTGAGTGACTCACTGTTGTTTTGATAGAAATTGTTTTGCAGATATAATTTACAAGAATGGCACGAAATGGAATTTATTGTATAAGACCAAATGCCTTTTTGTGCGGGAGGTCACACAGATGTGGTCCATGATACCTATCATGAACTATGAACAGACATGCCAAAGACTTTTCATAAATGTTTGCGTAACCAATTGTTAATATGTGTCAGACAGCCTTAAAAACAAAATTACTTCATTTATCATTTATTTCAATATGATGACATTGTATATTTTCTTTATATATGTATATTTTCTACATGCATTTATGCAGTTATTGTGATATGTAGTGATAATATGTCTGTGATAAACCTAATTTCTTGCCAATCAAGATTTTTCAGTTTGAATTGGGGAAGAAATCATGTTTTAATTTTGTGTTTTATGAGATTTGAGAGTGCTTTGGCACCATTTGTACAGCCTGATGGTTGCATGTTTGTGATTCTGGCGACATCTGTCTGTATTCTGTATGTAAAAAATAAACTTTACACAGTTCCTCTCAGGCCCACTGAGAGGCAGTGTGACACTGCTTATCATGTTAAGTCTGATGCAAAACAAAGTCTGTGAAAGTGAAATAAGCGATATTTTTGGCAAAGCGCATCTTGTTCGCTGAGTGGTGGAACATTTCTTTGTTGCAGGGAATGGATTCTAATTTTGACATACAACAAACAGCATCACTGATTCATTTACTTACAATATAGATACATTTTCAGAGCAGTGATGGAATAAAAGTTGCAGTTATTAGTAGTTTCTTCTCATGTCTGTTATAGCTTGTTTCTCATCTGGACTATGATTCCACTGACAGCAATACAAAGTCTCACTGGGGAGGGTGACGTGGTCGACTCCTGGCTCTAATGTGAAGATGGACTCCAGAGAAAGAGAGGTGGTGTGACCTTTGGTTGCTGATCTCGCAGTCAACCTGTTAAATATTTATCTTGGATGGCAGAGCTGAGACTTGCTTCTGGACTCAGAGTACAGGAATCCAGCAGGCGTCTGCAGACTGATATTTCAGAACAAGGAAACATGGGAGTGGGAACAGACAGATAAACCTCTCAGGAGCTTAACAGAAGCTTTGCACTTACTCTGTAGTTTCAAAAGCACAGCTGATCTGTCGACGGCACCGTGGACTTAAAAAGGGAAAGCAGTAGCACCACTTCTCTTGGCTTTGATGCAAGGCTTTCCTCATACTGGGTGAGTAGGCCCAGTGCTGGAACTGAACATGGAAACACTGAGACTTCTCTAAGGCCATTGAGTGTTTCTGTGTGGGGGGGCTTTAGCATAATGCTGTTGTACTTTCACTTAGAAATATTCCTTCCTTAATGTAAAGATTGACCTTGCAAAATGACGGGTGGCCAATAGAGCCACCTGGATTTCACAGAAAGCACTCCAGACTGACTTTTGTGCCTGATCTAAATCATCTAAAGACCTAAGATAGTGAACAGACCATGTTATTATAATATGTGTCACTTAGGCCCATTTATTCAGATGACTATGGAAATCGCCTCCTCTTCCCTAAAACACTGGAGGGCGGTGCCACTGCGCCTGTGCCTGTATGGGAATCTCTATTATTTCCAGCTGTGGATGGAAACTATTACTGAGTGCCTTTCTCCCTGATGAGCTTTAAAATGCACACACACACACACATGCGAGCACAGGACATAGACACACATATGCACGCCTACGGACGTTCAGTCAAACATTCAGACCCACGCTGAATCATTCACCAAAGATAAAAGACACCCTGTTGGCCTGAGAAAGAGAAAAGAAAAAGGGAGGGAGAGGGAGAGAAGAGCAGCAGCGGCTCCCTCCTTCTTTTTCATTCACTTCCTCTGCACTGAGGAGACCTCACTGCTCAGCCTGCACTCGCTTGTAAGTACTGTACAACTTGGGTTACTATGACAAGGAGGGAAGTATTCACAGTTTTAAAGATAAAGACGTTTTCCAGGTTTTGTCATTGTCATGTGATTGTTTTGGTAGTTCTGATGTGTGGGTTGTTTATCTGAAAGGGAACTGCCTCTAACACAGATTTGAGCATCATGTTCTTTTCCTTCATAAATCAGTTTATCAGTGGAAACCACCGAGACAAACAAGGCAGGGCTGTTGATTATCTGTCTGTCATTGTCGCATCATTGTCATTTTTTCTCAGAATGTTGTTGAGCAGCAGTTGAGCATTTCTTTGGAAAAGGGCGGATATGAGGAAGACGTTACTACAGTAGATGCCAATCTTTTACTGTCTGTGGTTCAGAAGATGCTATCATCAGACCTCTGTCCAAAAGCTGCCTCCTGCTGTGGCTTGGCTTGTTGTTTTGGTTTGAAACATTTTTGTGTGTGAGTATTTCCCTGTTAGAGATGTACTCAATCTTTTTTCTTTCTCCACCAAACTTTACAAAATAAGAGCAGCAGGTCCTGTTAGGACTTATGACTACACCAGAGCTTGTTTGTCCTAGTCAGCCAACAGTGTGACCCAGAGTCCTGGGACATGCACGGCTCTGAAAAATGTTGTTTACCGCTAAAATAAACCATGTTTCTTGTGTGTTTCTTCCCAGAGACATTCTGCTAGTGCTACCTATGACGAATGACACTGTATGATGTCCAGACCTCCTTAGCTGCTCTCCATGGTTATGTTGATGCTTGTTTACCTGTTGACTCATCTCGCTCCAGTTATATCTTCATTTGATGGCGACTTTATCTCCTGATTTGTACAGACTTGCTGTCTCTTGTTTCCTCAGAACAGAGAAAAATAAGCCCAGGGCTATACTCGTCAAATGATGTAGTTTTTGATTATATAACAGACTTAGCCCTATGTCAAGGTTTAGTCACTCGGCTGTCAGGCGCTTAATGAGCCTCTGTAGTAACATACCATGGCACATACCAGTCAGTGTGAAAGGACAGTGAGTGGCCTTTACTGCGTATGAAAGGTCTGCTGGAATCCATACAACATCATGCCTCTCTCATGTTCTGACAATGTTTCTCTGTAATAAAAAAGGGGAGCTGGCATTGGTGAAGCCTTGTATTTGTTTAGCGAAGAGACAAAGTGAACAAGGATCCAGTGTGTGGAGAGGTGTCAGGTCCCGGGCCAAAGCTGCAATCGCCTCTTGCGTGATTACCTCATTTAGCTGCAGAGTGACAGGGTGTCAGATGTGGTCACAGCGGGGTGAAAGTCTGCTCTGGCGGGACACCGATTATGAGGGGAGCCTGAAGCCTGAAGCCTGAAGCCTGCGCTGCCCAGCTCGCCCCTCAGGTTCAGTGGCTCAACTGTTTGGCAAAAACAACCCTGTTAGGAGTGCAGGCTCGGTAAATGGATATCTGCCCTGAGTTTCACTCTACCAAGCCAGACCACTGAATTATTAAAAAAGAACCAAGACCTTCAATTTCAAGTTGGAGCTGTACCACATACAAGGAGACCCTGTTTAATGTTATTCTTGGTCCTGTTTTTAGTTTATAGCTATAACACAAAGTGCACATCAGTACAAAAGCTGATTGCATTTGTAAACAGGCAGAGGTGTGGACTTGAGTCACATAACTTGGACTTTAGTCAGACACAAGTCACAATTTTGTAGACTTTAGATCCAACTTGACAAAATAAAAAAAAAACAATCTTGCAGCTTGACTTGGATGCTAACACAAGTGACTCATGACTTTACTTGGACTTGAGCCTTCTGACATGAAAACACTTGATACCTTGCCCCAAACCCACACCTTAAAAAGTATGTTATTCAAAAAGTGTGCCACAAATCAATCCATTTCCTGAATCAACTAACATTAACGCTATTTATTCCCAGCATGTCAACATGTAATTCCCCAGACCCACTTTGTTTAAACCAACTGGACGGCATCCAATCAAGGTCAACTAACAACAAACTGCAGAATGCAAAATGTGTGGGTCGGAAATTACAGACAATGACGCAACAACTTCCAACTTCAATCTAATCTAATCTAATCTAATCTAATCTAATCTAATCAAGCTAATGCTAAGCTAACATTAGCTTGATAGCGAAGTAACTTTTTAATGAACTTGCCTTAACACATAAATACAAATTTTAAAAAGCATGCATGGTTTTTGTAAATTTAATATATTATCATTCTGTTGTTAGAATGGCATTACATATGGCAAAGAGTGCATTATGACTTGTTCACGACTTGAAACCCAAAGTTTAGAGCTTTAGACTTGAGTGCAAAGACTTGAGACTTGTGTATGGCTTGCAAAACAATGACTTGGTCTCACAAAAGGTCACTGGATTTTTCATCTTGTAACTCAGTCTACGTGTGCCAAAACAAGCCGTCAGCACGTTCGATTTCAGGCTTTGCGCTGTTTGTCTTTATTGGCAAGAGCTGCAGACAAACTGGAAATCCTGGTTTTATTTGGGCAAGTATTGTGTGCAAGAGCAACAGTTGGATTTGGGACAGTTTGGGAATTAAGCTTCATTCCTCTGACTGCTTTTGGCTCCGTGGTTTCAACAACCATCCTGTTGGAATTTGAATGCGGCTGACTTATCTGTGCACATACTGCATCTCCTTATTTGAATAATTTGATCATTTAGTCTCTGGTTATTCCCTTCAACCTTGACATCAACAGTGGTGTGTGTGTGTGTGTGTGTGTGTGGGGGGGAGAGAAGTCAGCAGGACTTGTGCTGTCACTATTAGACTACACGGTGCAGAGTAATGACTCTGAAACACTTCCACAGCTACTGGAACAGAGAGAGCTCCTATTCTCTCTTCATGCCAGAGATCTGGCCTTTGCACTCACACACACATAAAAAACACACACACACACAAAAGCAGAGGGAGGCATGGGAGAGATAAAGTTAGGAGGGGGTGTCATGGAGCCAGTGGGCAGTGTCTGTTAGGTGGAGGTGATGAACTATTTGCATTCCCCTTTGGTTAACCCTGCTCTGTGAAATATCACCTCATCACAACAATAGGGCTGCTTCATTGAAGAAGGTGCCCCCCCACCAAACTGACAAACCAAGAGCAGAGGGTGCCTTTTGAACGGGGGCTGAAGTGGGTTGCTATGGCGATGCCTGTCAACCGGGAAGTCCTCCGTGGAGGCAGGCAGAGTGAGGGCTGGGAGTGAGAGAGAGAGAGAGAGAGAGATAGTGTGCCCTGGTTATTCTCATGAGTGAGAGACACAGAGCAGGGAGGGTGTGCAGGGTGGTTTACGTGCACGTCCCAGGCAGGCAGAACTAGGTGTGAGTTCACTTGTTGGTGCCACTTTTAAGGTAAGTACACTCTTTCCCATGGGATTTAAATCAGGGAGTGATCTTTAAACATTGTAACTGTAGAAAACTCAGGCTGCTGTTTTTTTTTTTCTGAGGTTGAGTAACCTGTCTGACCGCTCAGGGCTGCTCCACAGGATTAGTGCTGCAGACCTGCCCATGAGTTTACTGTCTTGATGCTTTTACAGTGCACCTGAAAACAAGTTGGCCCATGTGATGTGTGTAAGTTTTGATGTTGTAACATGTGGGAGTTAACTGACTGAGCTTTTTGGCAAGTGGGGGCAAGAGCAGCTGTGAGTTACAGCTGGAGTAAAGAGAGAGAGAGAGAGAGATTGAGAGGGCACTGTGGGCAGTGTTTCCTTACATGTATGTATGCACCGACCTCAGCACTTGCCAGCAGAGAGTCAGAGGAAAACATTTACCTTGCCATCTTGCTGCAGATTTCAAGCTTAATCCCCAGAAATCAGGGCTGTCCAGTCGTCACTGGTGGCTCCCCTTAGTGTCAGGGTGATTTCCACAGCTGGCTCTGATTCCTTTTGTGATATTACTGAGGGTCCAGCTGCCAGTACTCATATCCACAGGCTGCACTCAGCTCTGAAGATGCAAAATGACAGGCATGAGGATTTGTGAGATTTGTCCGTAGTTACCATGATTTGAGTGAGTATTTTCTCATGCTTCGTCTGACACATTGCATTACTGTTTCACTTTTACAAATCCACCCAAATAAGGAATTATCTTGACTGATGTGGAGTGTGTTTGTTGTAAGGGCAAATCTGATAAACTTCAGCTCAGCGCTGGGCTCTTCTCTGAGAGAGAGGCTTTGATTTACTGCCCCGCAGCTCCTCCTGGGAACACATCGCCTCTCCATTGACAAGAAGCACACAGGCTGACTCCTCCTGTTGCTCTGACTGGAGGAGCACCATACAAGGAGGTGAAATACTTCCCTACTGATAAATGTGTGTATCCCCCAATAACTGCATATCATAAACTTGCGGCTCCAGGACCTTGTATGGGCTGCACATCTGCTACGTTGCAGAGGGGCAGCACGGTTTGCGTGATCAACCTCGCAGGACCTCTAACATCTCTCAAATAACTGCAGAGTGACTCATTTAATGTGTTTGGAAAAAAAATGCCCACTTTATTTATTCAGCAAATGTGCTTGTGATTACCTTCTCGCCACTTTTGAAGGCAGGAGTTCTTCTGGTTTTTCACGACCCTGTTGTGCAACTTGTTGGGCAGTAGTGACATTGCGTACGTGCAAACCAGTGATAATACTTTACCCTTCTGTCTGTTGAGCTAATCTCAGTTAATATCCAGGAAATAAACACTTCATGATCAGATGCTGTTTATACTTTTTGAAGACTGTAGAAAAAGAGTGATTAAGGTCAAATATAATACTCACCCAAACAAAATGACCACCTTAAGCAAATACCGAGCTCATGTTTTGGCTGATGTCCTTCATGTATGTGAGCAGGACTTAGATCCGTTCATGTGCAGTATTTCCCACCTCACGGGGTCAATGATTAACTCCTCACCACCCTACACACAGGAGCAGAGAACAACACTATAGTGCTAATGAATGGAGATCGGCTCGTGAGTGACACTTTTATTTGTTTTATTTAACACTCTCACCGTTACTGATGATATATGGACAACCTGATTCTCCCTCTGACCACAAATCATTACTTTCCTAATGGTGCGCCAACAGATCGCAGAAGTTCACGGGTTACAACTGGGACAGTTGTATGTGTGGTCACCTTGACAGCCTTGTTCTTAGGGAGAACAATGCAAGAAGTTCTGTATGTGGAGGAGGATGAGGTCAAAGTAGGTCACAGTCCGCACTGATGCGTCCTTCTATGGAAGAAAGAGAACATTGGAAGGGGGACTTTTAATGACTAATGAGTGGTGAGGAATTGTGACCTCATGGCAAGTTCACTTGTCATCCTGGGTGTATGGTACTGAGTAAGACTGAATGGTTTTGTTATTTCACTAATTTCTAAGATTTGCCAATACTATTACTTACTATTGCGTTACTGTTGTGTTGCTATTCCCGGCTGTGGAAACCTCCCATTGTAACAGGCAGGAATCACAGGGGTGTGGTGAAGTTCACTGACCTTGTAGCTGCTGAGTGAGTAGGTCTGCTTTGGCTCAGCAACTTCAGATAATAGTCTGGTTCCTCATCCGCTCCTTATGGGTAAAAAAGGAGAAGAAGAAAAAAACCTTGTGCTTTACTAATGTGACTTGCTTTTGTAAGTATATCACAACACAGATGCTTGATTTGATGATGTTTATGGAGCTGTTAGACTTCTGTTTCACAGATGAGTTTACAGTGTATCATCCGGCCCTGTGCTTCCACAGACCGGATGAGTTTCCTGGGGGACAGAGACACAGATTTCCATACAAAAATCCTCTGATTCTCATGTAGGACGTCCTCAGTTATCCTGTGATGGACTGATTGTAAAGCAGAATGGAACACAAGATACTCTGCAGTAAGCTGGAATAATAAAATGAATACATCATCATCTGAGAGGCCCATGGGCCCTTTATGGCTCTTCTTTTTCCTTCCATCCCAAAGCTGATCCTGTGGTGATAATGAACCTCTCACCTAGCAGGGGTTTAACTTGTAAATACCTGGGCTATAAAGTTCATACATTTCAGAGAGATAACATCAGCACACTCACACACCACCAGTTCGAAAAACCCTGTCTCCATGTGAAAGCTTATAGCTGCCTTCGTTGTTGAGTCTCAGTAATTATGTAAGAATGCACCGGGCGCTTGGAGCAAACCCAGAGAGAGCCAGACTTCTGGACAGGGATTTTCTTACTAGATATCAACACTGATTTTTCCTTATTAGGTAGGATTGTGTTTGGTGCTCTCGAAGGGGAATGCACCGATGGATTATTTCTCTGTTGGATTCTGTTCCGTGGAGAAATGAAACACAGAGACACTGTTATGACATGAGCTTACTCATCGGGATGCTACATCGATGAAGCAGGGCTTCTCAGATTTTTTTTTTTGGGGCCTCTGAGTGGAGTTCATTCTAATGTTAACCTTTTAATAAAAGGTCATGGACATAAATGGTCCGTAATTCTAATAATAATAACGCAAATTAGAATTTTATTAGTTTATTAACATAAGAACAACAATTGAATACCTCAGGGAATTAGTGAGGTGTTCCAGCAATAGTCAGTGTTGCTGTCATTTGCATTAATATAATATTCAAGTGTGTGTTAAAGGGGCACACCATGATTTTACACTTGAAGCTCACTGAACTCATCTCGAGGAGTACTACTTAGCCTGTGAGTAGCCTGAACAGTTGTTTAATGTTACTTATGGCTCTGAAGGAAGCGGTCCAATGAAAAAAAAACAATCTTGTTATTACAGCTTGTTCTTGAAACTCTAAATGTTAACCAAAAAGCAAATGCTACAAACTGAAGACGTTTGAAGGAAATGGGCATTTTGGCCACATTTCCACCAAACACTTTAGGTATAGTACTTTTGGAACCCGTGAGTAACCTGTACGGATATTAGGGGTGTAAATCACCAGTTTCATCATGATATGTTATTATATTGATTCTTTGGACAATGATACAATATTTGCTGATAATACAAAGTCTGCCACTATACAATTTCAATTTGATGTGTTTTAAGGGCCTGTGATTGATATGATACAATATTATATGCCTGTTTAACACAGTTTGTTACAGAAGAAACTGCCACCCCTTTTTTTTTTTGCTTTTGGCCATAAAATATAAAAACAACACATAAGTAATGTAAGTATGTTACTGCTGAAGTGCAGTGAAGTTTACTTTTAATTGATTCCACTAGCACACATTTTCTGCCAGAGAGACCTTTAAACCCAAACCATCATCGTTTTCAGACGTCAGGGCTATCTGGCTTAAAGCCCTGAAGACAAACTTCTCCCAACAGCCATAAAACATGGACTAACAACATGGTTTAACAAAGGTATAAACTTCAGCTCAGTAATAACTGTCAAGGTTCGTAGACATTTTTTTGTTTGTTAGTAACCCATTATTTGCTTTAGCATGTTTACACTGCATAAATTAGCCTAGCGGCTAGCGGACTTTTCCCCCTCTACTCACAGCTTAACTAATTACATATATCATGATTATTTTTCTTGCCCATCGGTGGTTTAAGTCATTGCATCTCCTGACAGAACAGCACGATTGAATGTCAGCCTGCATGCATGTTTTTTTTCAGCCAAACACGTTAGTGGAGTGAGATGTCCGTCCAGGCAGGTAACATTACGTTTTTATCTCCAAACAGCATTGTTTACATACGTCATGTGCTTTGTCTGTTGACCTCTATTTTCCCCGAAATCCAAAATATTTCCACGCTGCTGATTTATTCCCAAGTAAATAGTGATATCCTCATTGTCTTTCTCTTGGCTGCTTGCCATCTGCCTGCTGCTGTTTGCCAGTGACACGGGCTTTCAAAATATAAGTGTATCCTAAAGATGACGATATGGATCGATGTTTTCACTTTGCATCCATGACTTTGGATCACTGATGATTTAATTGATATATTGATCCATATGGATGGATCATTACACCCCTAATGAACATGTACCTAAACTCTAGATCTCTTTAGGCTTCCCACCACAGAGAGTACTCTTAATGTAGGTGGGGTTGTTACTGGATAGTAGCTGTGTCGCTGCTTCATCCAGCTTTCACTTTATTTTCTATTCACAGGCATTGTCGACAGAACAGGGCTGCACACCAACATTTTCAGAACAACTGCAACAACGACAAAAAAAATGACTGGAGTGTTTACAGTCTCAATCAATGGGAAATTTAATATGAATAAACAGGATGTAATGGAACAGTTCTATTGGTACCATCCACAGCTTTTGACAATGGAAACACAAAAATAACTGATCTAATACGCAACGAACTGAACTGAACTGAACTGCTTGGTGGAAACGAGGCTTTAGGGAAGCAAGGAGAGTCTAATTAAAATGCTATTAAGTTGCATTATGGGAAACATAGGATCCAGTTCTTTGGGAGATTGACCCACACTAATGACATGAAAAGTCAGTACAGTATATCTCCATCACCACTTTGAGTTTGATTATTTTTTGACTCCGTCTCTTGTGAATCTCCCAATTTTATGGAAGTGTGCTTAATCGCTAGGGCGCCCCTTTAAATCAGCATCTTATTAATACATTTGTTGATCTTTTTCAAGTTATCTCACCAAATATGAAATTCATTGGATGGAAAAGAGTATCTTCCTTGAAAAAGGAGCGTCTTTGTTTGCTCTTCAGGATTTCTGAATCAGAGAAGCCTGTGTGGAAACTGTACTCCATGAAATGCCAGTGAATGACTCATCTACAGTAGTTATTTGTTCATCAGTGTGATGGGGCCTTTAAAGTGAATGGCAGCCAGCTGAGGAGAGATCCGGTGTAAATAAGAACCAGCATGTCAAACACATTGTAAATAAGATTACTTTAAGCCATTATTTATAATGTTGCTCATTTGCAGCATTGCCTGTTGTTAGATGGATAATCGGCTGGCTGTGATTGCTCTGGGCAATGATAGGTCATCTGTCATGTCTCAGCAGTAATGGTATTGTTGCGGACACAATCCTCTGGTTCCCATATTTCTCCCGTTATGTAAGGCAGTTTATTGGGAGATGATGACTCAGATGGAGTGACATCGTTGTCTGGTAACTGGAGCATTGACTCTATCACTGCGTGCGCTCTGTGCAGTCTCCTAACCTTGTGCACAGAGACACAGAGTGAGTATAGTTTTCTTGGAATTGACCACAATGATTATAGACTCTAATGCTCAGCTGCAAATGCCACATGGAAAACTCATT